CCTAGATCCTGAACCCTAAACCTTAAATCCTGAACCCTAAACCCTAAATCCTGAACCCTAAACCCTAAATCCTGAACCCTAAACCCTAAATCCTGTAGAAGCCCCAGCCCAGCCAGGCAACGACTACAAGGACTACAAGGTCGGCGTGCGGGAGCATGGCAGGTGCACCTGGCTGTGGGGCTTTGGGTATCCATTCAGACCACCGCAAGGAAGAGTACTAATATATGCCTACGCGTGAAATATATATATATATATATTTACACCTATATCTATATATCTCTCTCTCTCTCTCTGTCTCTCTCTCTGACTACGGACAGGGGATCATCTTCAAAAGTTCTCAGAAAACTCTCAAGGGATTATGGCCCTTGCTTTGCCAGAGATGCATTCCTTTGTCCTCTTCGAGCGCACCTGCGCGTTAGGGTGCAGGATTCGGGACCATCCCAACCTGAGACAGACCCCGAGCCCTCGGTGGAGATCTGGGGATTGCTCCTGAAGTGCCGTTCATGGACTAGGCTCTTACATTGTTGGGCTGCCCTGGGGTCATGTGGGGTATGACAGAGGCTCATTGCCTTTTTTTTTTTGAACCTGCCACGTGGTTTGTGAGGTACAAGATCTGCCTGGATTCTGATGCCTTCGACTTCCGAGGGAAAGGCCAGGACGGGGTTCCAGGATTGACTGGGATGAGTAAGCTCTGCAAGAGAGGGATTTTCCATTGGGGATGCGACTTGTGGCAGAGAACGCATGGGACTTGGTTCAGTCAACAGTCTTACTTGGCCATTTTCAAGCCCAAATTTAGGGGCGTCGGTCTCCGATTTGGGAATCATTTTGTGGCTTGCCCATGGGTCAGTCCCCGCAACCCTAAACCGAAGCCGCAAGCTGAAATCCTGCTCTCTCCAAATTCCAGACCAGAGGAAATGTGCGATGTAGGAACCTTTTAGCTAGATACTTCAGTAGTACCCTTTTTCCCTTTCTAGTTTTGGGTCTCCTTATTATTCAAGCTGACCATTAATGAAGCAGGGTACCCTTCTTACTACGGGGATTGCTCTGAACCTGGACACAGTATACTGGAGCCTAGGACCAAGCTTTCTGGGGCTTAGTAGGGATAGTGGGGAATAAGGGATTACATTATATAGTCATTTTGTAGGGATTATATTTCTTTATTCCCTACTCACCAACCATAAGAGCCCAAAATCCCCGAAGCCAAGAAACCAGTGGGCTCCCCAACTTGCTGGTTCTTAGTAGGCAAGAGGGGTCATATCGGGATAATGGAAAAGAACATGGAAACTACTATATCATAGGGTTTAGGGTTCCAGATTCCCTACCAATTAAGCACCAGTAAGTCAAGTTTCAATGATTTGTCGCTTTTGAAGGGTTCCCCATCAAGATGCTTGCAGCTAGAGCATTCTAGAGGGGAATCTGCAGTTTGAGAGATGGATCCAGTAAGATCCCCTTCTACTTCCCTCCGTCAGTTGCCGGAGGTCTGAAGTTACTGCGGGCATATTTCCGAACTCAAGCTGCAAACCCAGACCACAAAGCCCAGCCCAAATCCTAAACCCTTAGCCTGAACTAAACCTATGAGCTGCGCACCCAGTTTGAAAAGAGCCTGTAGGCCGGACGGTGCACGATTGGACCTACTTCTCGGAGCCCGAGGGAGCCACTCGCTGGAGGACTAGCTTTGTTTGCGTTAGAGAAGGAATACATTGAGGGAGATACGGGATAGATGGGGGTCAAACAGGTGGTCGGGGTTTTATACTATGAAGTTTTCAGAACACAAGAAAACGGAGTTCTGGCAACAGTTGAGGGTCTTAGGCATTTATTGGCTGTTTCAGGGTCTAGGTGCGGTGCCGCCCGTTGACCAAATTACCCATGCCTTCCCGGCAAGAACCGCCATTTCAAGGGAAGTTGTAGCGTGTGCCATGTTATCCTGTTGTATTGGTGTGTATGTGTAGATATGCACAGGCTGCTTGGCATTTTGGGAAATATTATGTGTGCATATATAGTGCGATATGTATGAAACTCTTATTCACTGGCACGGCGCACAATAACAAAACTCCATGTTTTGCTACATCTCTGTCTTCTTGACTTCCCTAACAGCAGCCCGGTAAACCCTGAGCCCAAAAAGCGAAACCGTGGCGGAAACATTCTAGATATGTTTTGTTCCTCTATTTGGGGACATTGCCAAACACCAACACCCTCACCCTGAACCTAAACCCTAGACCGTGTTGCTCCATCATTCTTGCACGTGCTGCAAGAGGCTTTAAGTAAGGCATGATCCATTGCTAGGCATCCAGCGTGGGTGTCTCAAAATCGGGGTATCCTTAGGGACCCTGGCTACATGAGGGAAAGGGACCGAGAGGATAAAGGTCCTATGTTGAGAAGTTCTTAGACTTATGAAGTCAGACGCCATCTAGCCTGCTACTTGGCAAGGGTCTTGGGGGTCTTGAGAGCCTTTGCGCTCTACATCCTCACCCTTTACCCTGCCCTTGAACCCTAAACCCTAAGCCCCCTAAACCCTAAGCCCTCAACCCCCACAATGACTGCTGAGGTCCCAGGGGGACCAGGCAACTTCAATGACAGGTGTGCCTCGATCACCCTCAAGGCCATCAGCTGTAATGCTAACCAGCTATGTGGTAATTTCCAGAAATAGCGGAAGCCCAATTTAGAGATTCAAAGTATTATAATCCTTGTTAAGGGGACCGCAAAAAAGGTACCCCCTAAGCTTGCGAACCCCTCTGTAGTTCAGGGTGAGGTTTTGAGAGCAGAGTCTAGGATCCAGGGACTGGGTTCAGGAGTTAGGGCTGCTTCGGGGGTTGCGAGTTTGGGATTTGGGGTCCAGGGTATAAGGCGATTTTCAATTGACTGGGTGCCTGCATAGGAAACACCCAACTTCTGCTGAGGTTACATCCTGGGGTCCCTTCTGACTTTTTTTGGGGATTGTAGAGGTGCTTCATCGGTACCTACCTAGCTTTTGCTCTTCTTCTGTTGCAGTCCTCCTGCACAGAGCCCTGTCAAAACACGGCAACCTGGCTAGGACCCGGGCCCGGGGCCCGCTGGAGAAGGTGTTGAGATGTAGGTTTGGACATTCTTGCCAGGACTTGTGCATCACGGGCTTCACGAAAGGAGGATAAGCTCTCTCCATGTTTTTGCACCGCCTTGATTTTGGGTAGGCGTTTGAACAAGGGAATGGATCCTTTTAGTAGTCCCCATATAAACCACTATAGTACTATACATTTCCTCTTCCATTCCTTCATTCCCAGCTATCGAAAGGTAAGTTTGGGTAGGCCAGCAGGGCACTGCTTCCCGGCACACTTTGCTGGTGTATACGGTATAGCACCTGTGTTTGAAGCTACAGAGAGCATGTTGCGTGCATTGACCTCAGGTTAACCAGATTTTGACGCTGCGGCTCAAGTTGCCTGGAACGGCACATGGACTGAGTTTGTACATAAGGATGCCTAAAAGAAGCTTTCATTTTGGAACTGCGCTTTGGTGGTCTAGGGTTTAGGGTTGAGCTAGAGCTGTGAATTGGCTTAGACTTTTCCATGAAATGGGCGCCGCAATTGCGCCTCTTTGCTTTCCCTCTGCTGGCACTACCGTTGCGACCCGGCGGCAGCTACCTGCCTATGGCTGGGTGCCGTAGCCCTATCCGCGAACCGGAGATCTGCTCGCGTGCGCAGAGGAGGGGCGGCTCAGCCGAACGTCCTCGCCGACGGAAGGGTAGCTTCTTGAGAATTCTGGGACAACCCAAGCCAGAACAGGACCTGTAGTGAACAACGGTTTCTTTTTGGGGGAACCTTCTCCGGATAATACTTTAGTTTTGTGGATTGTGAGTGGCATCTATGTTTTCAGCTGTAGCTGCTGGGACTTCCAATACAGCTGAGGCAAAAGCCCCATGATTCTGACATCCAGGATCAAGAAATCAACTTCGACAACGGAGTTGCTAAACCTCCTGGAGCAAGAGGCACAGGGGATTTCAATCATACTCTTGCCAAGAGCCATAAAATAGTGGTTTCCATTTTCTTTTCCCTTATCCCTATACATATAGCCCCTAATATCCCATGGGGTAATATACTACATTTTACCATAATCTACCAGAATATACCATAATCAAGATCAACCCTGAGCCATTCAGCCTAAACCCTGGAAGCCCCACATCCAGGTGGATAGCCCAGGCTTCAATGCCTTCCACACCTCCGCTGCATTCACTCGGCTACTTGGGCGTGTGTACTTACATGAGGTAGTTTTGGGATTGTGCATACTGAGGAATGTGTTGTGACACGGCCACCCCTGAGTTTCTTTCAGCAAGTCCTTCAGGATGTAGACGGGGGGCTACCATGTGAGTGGACAGCAGGAGCTCTGACCGCAATCCTCGAATGAATTCGTGATTCTGAGAAGATTTAGGCTTCACCTATAGAGTTTACCAGTACTTGGGTTTCTTCCATCAAGGGGGGTAGGAGATTTATGAAGGCAGTCCTTGGGAGCATGTGAGATGAATGCAGGGCTTTCAGGGATGAGGTTTTCCCACGCTTTGCAAGCAATGGCTTTCTGAGGGGTGTCTTTATGATGGCAAGTCTACACTTCTGGGGACACACTTGGAGGGTCTTATGGGGGACTTAGGAAAATGGAAAAGAACATGGAAACTACCATGACAGTGTTTAGATTTAGGGGTAGCCTCAGCGTCAGTGCTACACGCCCGTGATCGAGCTTTGGAATGATTGACCGAACTCGACGTTCAGAACGCAGCGCGACCCTTTTTTGAGGAGTTCCCGATGGCTCTGACATCACCCACTGTGAAATGTGTGCATGGGCATGGGGGGCTCCTGCAACTCTTCATGATCATTCGTCGCTTGCCAAGAAAACGCCTGTAGTTCACTGGTTCGCGTCAATTGTGGAACAGACCGCTACATGAGTGGTTGTCAAAATTATGGCCCCTTTTTGGGTCCCTATTATAATACGGCCCCTAATATTTAGGGTGCCCAAAAAAGGACCATAATTTTGACAACCAGCCACATCTCTTTTTTTATGGGAACTCATAGCATGATCTACGGCGCCTTCTCTCTTTGAGAAGCTTTAAGCTCTCCAGCAATATATTGGGGTTATATTGGGATAATGGAAACTACCATAGTATATTGGGGGTTTAGGGTTGTGGGTTTCTATAGGGATCATGGAAAGGAAAATGGAAACTACTATAGTATATTGGGGTTATATTTGGATAATGGAAAAGAAAATGGAAACTACTATAGTATAATAGGGTATATATTAGGGGCATATTATTGGGACCATCCTTGTACTTCGAACTCTAAGACCAAATCCTATGGTGCAAGAGACGATTGAATCTCGAGAATGCGACAGATGTTAAGACCAGATACAGTCTTTATGAGCCTTTGTGGGACAGTCATGGTGAGATGGAAGTTTGGGAAAGCTCTGCTGAACTTTCAAGGCCCTCCATCTACCCTCTGTAAGCCCTAAATAGGGACTATATACCCCCTATTTAAAGGGTACAAGGAGGGTCCTGGAACCGAACAAATTCTGAGGCTAGCCTTCTTCAAGAAGAGAAGGCAGTGGCGAGCCGTAGAGTCGCAGAGCCGGGTACCTGGGCAAAGTTTGGATCCAGCTGACGAGGTTCCAAGAAGGGGGTTTTATAGGGATGATGGAAAATAAAATGGAAACTACCATAGTATATTGATGGTTTAGGGTTTAGGGTTTTATAGGGACAATGGAAAATAAGGTGGAAACTACCATAGTATGTTGGGGGTTTATGTGACAACGAAACGATGAGCGAAATTTACGCGATTTGGTTTGGGGGGCATATGCGAAAATTCGAAAATTTTTGGATTTTTGAATTGGCTTGTGGGCCGGGATCCCGAAAATTCGAAAATCAAAAATTTACAGATGTTTGCGAAAATTTGCCGATTTTTGCGAAAATTTGCGATTTTTGCGAAAATTTG